ATGTTTAAAAATTTATGAAACATAATAAATTCAAGTTTTTATAAAATCTTGTATATTTATATATATTAATTTGATTTTTTTTTATTTTATGTAAAAAAAAATATAAATTATTTTTTTATTATTTAGAATCCATTGAATGTCACCATTAGACATACAAAACTTAAAAAAAAAATTAATGAATCTCAAAGATTAAACTATTATTATAATTAATATTAAGCTAATGTTATTGTATCATGGATAATGATACTCTTACAGTTCGATTTGTTATGAGACGTTCGTAGAAGGCAACAACGATATGAGTCACGGGTGGTATTGAAATATTCTAAAGCCTTTGAAGCTAAATTTTGTGTTTCTAGTAAATTTACCACTCTTAGTCTTTTCACTAGTTTTAACCACTATAAATCTCGATATCGCTTTTTTTGTCACCAATTGAATCCATATATTTTTCATGTTATTTTTAATTAAGCCTTTATTTGATTAATTAATTGAAAACCCTTTAAGGCTTTACCAAAAAGAAAAAAAAAAGACATTTTCTTTGGAGTTTATATAAAGACATTTGCTTTTCTAGTCCATCAATCAAAACTCTGATCTCTAGATAACTCAAATCGAAACAACGTTAGGAATTCAAATCGAGATAATAATCAATATAATACTTATTTTTTGTTAAATATAATACTTAACTAATTAAATGCCTCAAAGACGTGATCTTCTAATCGGATGTTGATGGTGTTGTCGTTGTTCCATAAGATTGTGATAGTGGGCCTCTTGCAAAGCCTTGAGCTCCCCTCTTGTCCATCTCCAAACCGAGCTTAAGGTCTTCAATTTGACGCTGGAGGTGGCGAACCAAACCATCGTAGCCCAAGACTGGGTCTAGGAGACGGTATTTTGCCTCGAAATAATAGGAGTCCACGCATTTTTGCCTCTGGCTAGGCTCAAGATCCTTGAGATTTTTAACCACAACGCTAATCTCAAACACTTGAGACAAACAAGCGTAAACCTCCGGATTGTTCGCAGGCAAGTAAGGCGCAAGCACACAGTACTCGTTTGTGCATTTTTGCCTCGCCTCTTCACAAGCACAGGGTTCCATCTGCTAGCTAATACAACATATGTTTTTTTTAAAAGGATCAAAATAAGAAAAGTGTATAGACGCAGCCATGTGGTGAGCACAAGAAAAAGAAAAAAAAGCGTATAGAAGAAACAAAATCTGAAATATTTCTATTTATATAGCTTCTTGAAATCAATAAAAACTTTGTGTTCATTAGAAGAGGATAAAAAACTTGGTATGTAGGAAATAGTCTTTTACTACCAAAAGTATATGTGATTAACGCTTGCTTAGATTTTAAATACGACCAAAAATATATGAATTGATGCATGCTTAGATTTTAAATCTTATATGTATAGATAACTATTTGTGATTCCGGATATAAAGACGAACTCTCTATTAACAATCAATCAAACTTGACAAATCCTAAATATCATATTTTTAAGAAACCTGTAAGCCTTCAAAACCCTAGACATTGTAGAAACCCTAATTCTAATTATTCTTTTAAAAAATAATGAAAATATACAGTCTAACAAAGTAATTAACCAACCAGAAAAGTGACGTGTCCGTATATAACCTTCTCCGTTCAGATCCGTTAGGAAGGCGAGAAGATGAAGAAACAAGAAACACACCCGGCCGGTTTATGACACGAAGAAGATGCAAATGCCAGTGAATAATATTAAAGAGGCTTGTTATCAAAAAAC